GGTAAATTATTAAGCCAGGGATTTTGTTACCACAAATTACTTAAAACCTTCACTAAGTTCTTCCATAGATATAACTATTTGATTTTGAAGTTTGGTTGTACCTGCAGAAAACTCATTTCAAACGGGATAGCACATCCTTAGTTTAACGGAAATGTTGTTTACCGTGCCTGGAAATTTTGAAACGATCCTGGTAAATTTATCGATCCTTTATTTAAACATATTCTAAAAGGTTACCAATTCAACATTGTAATTAGATCATTGAATATTGATTTTATTGGTATTAATATTGATTTTGTTATCCGTAAATTAAAAGCAAACTAAACATTATTGTTATATACATATACACATTCATGGATCTACAATCTGTCGATACCTGTCTCTTGGCGTTGCACAAGGTCATGTTTTCTCTGACTGTTTATGACGTCTTTACACTAAATCCATTGGATGTTGGATGTATACTGATTGATAATTTAATCTTAGATGCATGATTTTTTTCATTAGTTGTTAGTGGCTTTGAACTAACTGTCAGTAACTGCGAGTACTCTCAGATCCGTATTTAGTGTCTTTTTGTTATTGGTACGTACAAGTACCCGGCCACGTCCACTTGTATTTGTAATATTTGTATTTTTATCCATCTGATGAGTTAAGCCTTTTTTTAACTGATTTTTAGAATTCGTTTTTATGTTGTACTGTTACACCACTGTCCCAGGTTAGGGGGAGGGTTGTGATCCCGCTAACATGTTAAACCCCGCGACATTCTGTATGGATATGCCTGTCCCCAAGTCAGGAGCCTTTAATTCATTGGTTGTTGTTTTTTTATGTGTTACATATTTGTTCAACGTTCATTTTTTTGTACATAAAATAGGCCGTTATTTTTCTCGTTTGAATTGTTTTACATTGTCATTTCGAGGCCTTTTATAGCTGACTATGCGGTATGGGCTTTGCTCATTGTTGAAGGCCGCACGGTGACCTATAGTTGTTAATTTCTGTGTCATTTGGTCTCTTGTGGAGAGTTGTCTCATTGGCAATCATACCGCATCTTCCTTTTTTATTAGCCGTATTTGGCACAACTTTTTGGAATTTTGGGTCATCAATGCTCTTCATGTTCCTACTTGTTTGGCTTTCTGTTTTGAGCATCACTGATGAGTCTTATCTAGACGAGACGCGCGTCTGACGTATTAAATTATAAGCCTGATATCTTTGATAACTATTTACACTACTGGGTCGATGCCACTGCTGGTGGATGTTTCATCTCCGAGGGTATCACCAACCCAGTAGTCAGCACTTCGGTGTTGACATGAATATCAATGGTATGGTCATTTTTTTTTAATAAATATACTGTTTGCAAAAGTATGAATTATTCGAAATACTAAGGATTTTCTTATCCCAGGCATATATAATATAGCCGTTTTTGGAATTTTGGGTCATCAATGCTCTTCAACTTCGTACTTGTTTGGCTTTCTAATATTTTGATATGAGCGTCACTGATGCGTCTTATGTAGACGAAACGCGCGTCTAGCGTATTAAATTATAAGCCTGGTACCTTTGATAACTATTTACACCAATGGGTCGATACCACTGCTGGTGGACGTTTCGTTCCGAGGGTATCACCAGCCCAGTAGTCAGCACGTCGGTGTTGACATGAATATCAATTATATGGCATTTTTTTTAATAAATTTACTGTTTGCAAAAGTATGAATTGTTCGAAATAGTATTGAGTATAAGGATTTTCTTATCCCAGGCATAGATAACCTTAGCCGTATTTGGCACAACTTTTTGGAATTTTGGGTCATCAATGCTCTTCAACTTCGTACTTGTTTGACTTTCTACTATTTTGATATGAGCGTCACTGATGAGTCTTATGTAGACTGGCGTATTAAATTATAAGCCTTGTACCTTTGATAACTAATTATAGTCTTTTAGTCATAGGAAATTCTAACTTGTTAAGAGTAACATGATAATTTCATTTGGTAAATGGAAGGAGTCCTTGCAAGGTCTACATATACTGTATGTCAGACAATGTTCAAACGTCCTCAACCTTATTTCATGAATTTCATTTTTAGCTAACCGGGCCCAAAAATCTTCTCTGAAACAAATAAGCCAAATAAATCCAAACTTGGCCTAAATCATCTTTAGGGTATATAGTTTGAAAAATGTATCCGATGACCAAATCCATCATCCAAGATGGCCGCCATGGCTAAAATAAGAACAGGGGGGGGGGGGGGGGGTAAATGCAGTTGTTGGCTTATATCTCTGAAACTAAAGCATTTAAAGCAAATCTGACATAGTGGTACAAATGTTCATGAGGTAATGATCTATCTGCCTGGAAGTTGTCAGACACAGCAGACAACCCGTTGTTCGGTTGCTGCTTCTGAATTGATAATTATATTAAAATATTTGCAGTTTTTGGTTCTTATCTTGAATATTATAAAAGATAGAGGTTGCACTTTGTAAATACAGCTGTTTCTCAAACCAAGCCTTTTTTGTGGTGATATATAATATTCATAGATAATTTGATTTGTTGACATACTGGTTCCCAGATATGATCTCTATGTTTCCTCTCATAGAGCCATAACTTGGGACCAGTATAAAAACATACTATTGGGGTGAAAAATGAATCCTGAAGTAGGTAAAAAGTAAAGGATAGGGTAGTACACAATTTAAGTAAAGTTAACCTCTAACAAGTTTAGGGCATATAAATGTGGAAAATATGCCGCACAGCCTATGTTTTGACCTTTGAATAAAATAGTAGTGCAAATCAACTTTCTATTCTAGGATATAATTTTTCACGAAACTTCATAGTAAAATTGTCACAGTTTGAGCTCCAAAGGGGGTTTCCATGGGAAATTGCATTGTCTATATTTACAGAAATGTAACCTAGAGATAAACTATGAACAGCAAAAATGTTCAGCTAAGTAAGATCTATAAATAAGTAAAATGACCAAAATTGTCAAATGACCCCATACAGAGTTGTTGCCCTTTAAGGTAACTTTTTCACATTTTTACGTAAATTTTTGTTATCTTTTACAAAAATCGTAACCTCTGAAACTACTAGGCTAAATTAAAACACACCTGGTCTTAATTATCCTTAGGGTACTTACTTTAAAAACTGTACCCGATGTTTCCGCCTTTCAACCGAGATGGCCACCAAAGCTAAAAGTAAAACATGGGGGGTGAAATGCATTTTTAGGCCCATGTTTCTGAAACTAATGCATTTAGAGCAAATCTAACATGGGGGTAAAAATGTTCATCAGGTCTATCTGCCTTTAAATGTTCAGACGCATCAGACAACACGTTGTAGGGTTGCTGCCCCTTAATTGGTAATTTTAAGCCAAGTTTGTAGTTTTTGGTTATTATCTTGAATATTATGATATATAGAGATACACTGTTAACATCAAATTTGTTCGCAAAGTAAGATCTACAAATAGGTCAAACATGAACAAAATTGTCAATTGATCCCATACAATCTAGTTATTGGACATTAGAGTCAATTATTCTGAATTTCATGTAAACTGCACAAAAACTTTTACTCTGAAACTACTGTACCAAATTTAACCTAACTTAGCCTTAATCATCCTTAGGATACATGTATCTAGTTTACAAAATTTATCAACCAGGATTGTCGCCATGGCAAAATATAAAACATTGGATGGGGGCAGGGGGTGTGTTAAAATGCAGTTAACTTTTAGAGCAAATCTGACATCGGATAAAAAGTTCATCAGGTCAAAATCTATCTGTTTTGAAATATACATACACATCTGACGTTGTTTATCATCTTAATGACGTGTTATATTGTTCTTTTATTTGTCTTTGTTCTATTATAAATATTAATGTCACTATTTGGTCTGTTTTCGGTGATACTCATTTGACGTGGCTCAGTACTTACACATCCCGTCAATGTGTTTGTATTATCTTTCTTTTTTGCTGGTATGCTTTGTACGTATGACTTTTTGTGTTTCTTTGGTATATATGACATGGCTCTGTACTTTTAAACATCCCGCCATTATGTTTTTGTTCTATTAAAATGCCATTATGTTAATGTTCTATTATAATTTTGAAAATACTTTGAACGACACAATTATTTAATATCAATGTGTTGTTTGTAATATCTTTCATTTTTGCTGGTGTGCTTTGTACGTGTAACTTTTTGTGTTTCTTTGGTACATATGACGTGGCTTTGTACTTTTGACATCCCGTCATTATGTTATTGTTCTATTATAATGCCATTATTTTATTGTTCTATTATGATATTGAAAATAATTTGAACGAAAAAATTATTGTATATCTCTTCCTGTGTGACGTAACATTCTTACGTCAAACACGCGACTGTCATCTAGAGTTGATGTGAACCTTGCCATGCATTCACAGGACTTCAAATATTTGGGTTGATTTTAAATACATATATAAGTAAGCAATGCATGTGATTGTTAAATTTTATATATCCTTTTTTTGTGCTTCTTTGTGGAATATTTGTTTGTTTTTGTTCTGATTGAGATTGTGACACGGTGATGATTGCTGTATCCTTATTTTGACAATTTTACCTATTATGTCTGTTTTGTTCAGGCATCGTTATAAATATAATAAAATTTGATGCGAGTGTCATACAAGTGAGATGTTTAGCGCTATAAAACCAGATTCAATCCACCATTTTCTACATTTGAAAATGCCTGTACCAAGTCAGGAATATGATAGTTGTTGTCCTTTCGTTTGATGTGTTTTATCATTTGATTTTGCCATTTGATTAGAGACTTTCTGTTTTGAATTTTCCTTGGAGTTTAGTATTTTTGTGATTTTACTTTTTATCAGACAACCTGTTGTTGGGTTGCTGCCTCTGAATTTGTAATTTTATGGACATTTTTAAGTATTTGGTTATTATTTTGAATATTTTAATTGATAGAGATAAACAGCAAAAATGTTCAGCAAAGTAATATCTACAAATAAGTCAAACATGAACGATTGTCAATGACCCCCCTTCAGGAGTAATAGCAAAGATCGTGCGCTACGTCACTAATTGGTAATGAATATGTATATCTCGGTCACGTGGTCGATGCTCATGCAAACAATCAACAATAATAATGGCTTCCACACGAGATTTTATTAAAATTGATCTTTCTGCTGAAGATGTTCCAGGGGCTAAAATTGACATAAATCAATTAGAAAGTTACAGCAATGTACAACTAAAACGATGGTTAGAATGCAGAGGTATTAAATCATCAGGAAACCGAACTGAACTACTTAAAAGGTGAGTGACCCCAAAAACAACGCCTACTTCTTTTGTCATTTGACAAACCACTTTACCTGAGCCAATGACAGTTTATGATCGATTCACCGGTTGACAAACATTTTTGTGTATCACATTTCATTGGAGGACTAATAATATTGACAAGAAGTTATTAACGCCCATTATAATTATAATTACTAATGCTTTTTCCCCCGACTGAAGTGAGCTATTTTAAGTCTCTATCAATAGAATATTTGTTTTCCATCTTTAATATGAAATTAATAAAAGAGTTTACATTGTAAAGGTTCAAAGTTGTAAATTGCGTTTATTTGTTTTCAGATGCAAAGATGTAATCGATTCTGGCAGATTAGATCAAATTGATATCAACATTGATCAAGGGAAGTGGTACGATATAAAACTTGGAAAGGTCAAACCAGAGAGTATAAAAAAAAATCAACCAGCTATCCCACCAGTATTAGGATGGAAAACTTTTCCGTCTAGACCCATACCTGTCAATTTCAATTATGGTCACATATACCATTATTTACTCGAGAGCGTAGTCCTTTTAGGAGAAGATGGGAAGCAGGAGGATACGGACTTGTCACACATGACTTCAAAGCCTCTCACAAAAGGAGAACAATATGTCAAAAGTGGAAGTGTGACAAATATAATGGACAATTCAAAGGGTTCAGACTTATATTTCATAAAGGGGAAAGTTGATGCATCTATGAGAAAAGAGCACAGAATTGTGCACATAACATTGTCATCAATTAGTGGCGCTGTTTTAGATGCAAGTTGTACCTGTCCAGCATCTTGCCTAGGACGATGCAACCATGTAGCAGCATTGCTGTTAATGCTGAATAAGCACTGTAAAGAATCAGGCTATGATGCAACTGCGTGTACAAGTAAGCCATGCGAATGGAACCAGGGGAAAAAATCCAACAAAAATCCTTCAAAAATAACTGAAGCTGCATATCCGTACTATAAATCTAGACCAACAAAGCTGAGCACTTTTGATCCTAGGCCACAGAATCAAAGAAACATTAGCAATGAGACAAAAAATTCGTTTATAATGGACATAAAATATAATGCTTTAACAACTAGCAAGCTCTCTATGTGGGGCACCTTGCTCTCCTCTCAATACGAAGATTATACTATAGAAGAAGAACGAGTAGATCAGCTTGAAAATTCAATTTGGAATATGTTTAATAATCTACGTGACGAAGGTAAACAGTACCCTACAGCTGCTTACATGATACCAAATACCGAACAACAATCAGAATCTGATACATGGAAATCAAATAGATGGTTCCGGATCACCGCCTCAACAGCAAAACTAGCAAGCAATCTTGGAAACATCTTAAACACTGAAACCCAGTATTGTGATGCTACCAAACGCAAACTATTTAACTTTATTTCCTATAATATCTGGACTTTACATACATTTTCTACACCAGACACTGTATATGGTATTGAAAGTGAAGAGCAAGCCAGAGCAGATTATTCAAAATATATGGGAGGAAAAATACAAGACTTCAGAGTCATAAAAACAGGCTTCTGGATAAATAAATTGTGGCCAGAAATAGGATGTTTACCTGATGGTCTTGTTTTTGATCCAGAAGAAAATACTAAATATGGTTTACTCGAAATTAAATGTCCAAAACTATTGCGTAAAGTGGCACCTTCTGATTTGTTTATGGCTTTGAGAGATAAAAAAGTATTGAATAGCGAGTTATATTCAGCTTGTTTCTCTCGCCCAACCTCTGAGAATGCTTCTTTGGAGCTTAAAACTCACCATGCCTACTATTACCAAATTCAACTCCAGCTTGCAGTTACAGGACTTGAATGGTGTGACTTTGTGTTATGGTCATCTCTTGGTAAGCCAAATGTAGAGAGATTAAGACGAGACCAGCAGCTTATAACTAACATGATAGGAAATGTAACAACCCTTTGGCGAAGAGTTATTGCCCCTGAGCTGTTTGAAATGAGGGTTCCTAGGAAACTGTTCCCTGTTATTTTAAAGGACATAAATACACCAATAGTACTTCAAGTCAATAAATAAATTATTTATGTTATATATATTTTATATGGATACATGCACATGTAAAAAATGTTCAGTATATTTTTCTCATTTAACTAAAGGTTCTTGAAAATTAACAAGGCAACTTGCAACAAATACTAATTGATTGGCAATTGGAGACAATGACAAAGGTATATTTCCACTTAATAACTTAAATTTTTTCACACGTTCTATGACACGTTCAACATGTATACGAGCCTTGGCTATTCGTCTTGTATTTAACTCTTCTTGAGCGGTAAAATGTGTTCTTTTTCCAAGAAATGGTGGTATATTCAAGAAGGCTTGGCGTCTGAGAAGCAGGTCTTTAATTGTAAATCCCCTATCAGCAAGAACCAAATCACCTGGGTTGATATAGTCTAAAAAACCACTCTGCTCAATAATTGCTCTGTCACTTATTGAGCCCTCAAATAAGTCTGAGACATAAACAATTGATCCGTTAGGTGCTATGCCAATCAAGCATTTATAGGTATGATGGTTTTTGTACGAGGAATATAAATTTCCTTGTCTTTTGAAATCTCTTGGCATTTGTACAAAGAATTCAGTGCAATCTATCGTGCAACGTATATTCTTAAAAGTTTTAAATACTTTTGGTAATCCAACTTTAAAATGCTGTCGTTCCGGAAACATGTCATTTCTCAACTCATTAAAATGACAATACAGTAGCTGAATCCATGTTGTAAAAATTATGCTAACTGTAGAAGATGCAATTCCAAAAAAGTGTGAAATAGTATCGATGCTGTAACCCCTTCTTAGTCTTACTAAAGTCAGAAATAACTCATCTTTTGGTTCAAGTTTTCTATAACCTTTCCTTGAACTTTCTTTAGAATCATTTTTCCCATCCCAGTATGTTAAATTGTTAACACTAGAGCCAAGAAAGTTAAATAGAATGCAAAACTGAGCATACGTTAATCCTGTGAATAATTTCATTTTAGCATCATTGTCTTTAATTGCCTTTAGGGATAGGGTGGTGTCATTTTGTTCATTTGGCTGATCATTCTGTCTACTTTCACAATTTCTCATTTGGTTTTTTAAAATCATATTTTCAATTTTGGTGTTTAAAACTTCTTTTTCATATATTGTTTGCACTTCTTTGTCATGTGTCTGTATATTTTCAGTTTGTGACGATGCATCTATAGCAGGACAAAGTGCTGGCAATGATGCTTCCTGAAATATAATGTACTATATTTATTTTAATTTAATATAATAAATTTACACATTGTACATGTATATGAAAAAAAAATATTTTCTATTGTTTTATTTGCTATATTTAATAACTGATGTTCCTGTATTAATTGTTGTTAACTGAAATTGAAACAAAAATTTAAAGAGAAGCATTAATTTGCACATGTAGATATTTACATGTAATATATTATGTCACTAATTTTTAAAATCCTAGCCACAAAGTATGTGTAGAGAGAAGTCTTTACCATTTTTAAAATTTAATATCAAACTTATATTCATGAATTGTTTTGAGTTTTTATTGGGTTGTGTTTCAATGATTTTTTTTTCTCAACATGCTCAATAAAACATCTAAATACTTACATTTGTTGTCTCAGAAAAATTATTTTGGGTAGTTAAATCAATGGACAGGTCAAGTAAACCTTCAGCAGCAGATTTAATATCCTTCTTTGAAATTTTTATTGGCTTCCTCCTTGGTGTAGGCGCTTTCCTTTTGCGTTCAAACCTTTCAACCTGTGTAAAATACAAAGAGTGTAAATATTTTGTTTAAATTTGATTTAAACAATTAAACAGGAAAAAACAAATCATTCACTGTTATAAATAACAAGCAAAATTTGCAGTTAATAGCTTAATCTGAATAAATGTTGAGTGAATCTCATAATTTCATAGGCTTTCAATGTAAAAAACATGCATGTTGAAGAAAAGGGGGATGTAAAACTAACCTGTTCATCTGTGTGTAAAAGTGCTGGGATTGGATCAGGATTTTCAGCCGTAGGACCACTTTCTCCTGCAAAATGCTTGCTGCATATATATGTAGAACGTTTGATTTTATCCACGTTGAAATCATTACCGGGTCGACCGCAAGCTTTGATCCATTTTAGACAGGTTTCCCTACGAGTTGTCGGTTTTGGGAAAGGGATGAAAAACACATCTTTCATTTCTTCTCGATGTCTGTACCTAGTATCACTATTACATGTTCCATAGCAGCAATGTTTATTTCCTTCAGATTTTGATTGATGCGGTAATTCTTCCATCTAATTAGTCAGAAAGTAGTAAAATATATCAATGGAATTTGCCTCATGCAAAGCGTTGTTTACAAATGGCTTGCATGACATCCGGGAACTTTACCTGTGATGTCATTCTAAAAATAGCTTTGTAATCTATTATTAGTTCAACCGATCTTTGCTATTGACCTTTAATGTCAATTTTTCACAACTTTTCGTAAATTTTTGTACTCTTTAACAAACATGTTTTTCCTTTGAACTGGGCCAAGTTCCTAAAGGTTGAGATAACTGTAAACATCAAGAATGTTCAATAAAGAAAGATCTACAAACTATTCACCATCACCAAAACAGGGAATTTTGCCATGCATTATATATTCTTGTCTTTAATGTTGTTGAATGTCCTTTGTATAATATGCATTGCAGTACATAGACCAAGGTGAGCGACACAGGCTCTTAAGAGCCGCTGGTTTTGTTTATTGATCAATCAATCAAAGTTTTGTAGTTTGGCAAATTTTCTTGGATACTACGATAAATACATCAGCAGTATTTGGCAAATAATATAATTGAAAGGTACATATTTCTATCTGGCTTACATTTCATATGACAATTATTTTTTGTCATGGTTCATTGGACAATGTTTAGTTTTATAGTTTGGTAGGGACTCTGTGGGAACGTCACGTCAATAAACTCATATCTGCCGTAATGCATAATTGGTGTTATCGACGTTGGTAAAAATTACAAAAAAAATTTTTTTCATTCGATGTCAGTTAAAAATAAAATATCACAGGAAACTTGAATTTTAGCTCTTCATACTAGGCTGAAACTTGTAGACTTTACCTTTTGTATCTATATTTCATAACAATGTGAAAATCGGTAAAATTATCCATATCGTTTATTTTTCGCTATCATATGCAACAATTTAATGTCCTATCGGGACCTAGCGCTATTTATAGAAACGTAAACAGACATCAAAATTTTGCATGCATCATCCTGAAGTTGAGAACAGTAAAATTTTGTAGGTATCCTAATCCAATTTCGTCAATAAAGAGTCTAATTTTGAAGATAATCAACAAAATTGTGAGTTTCCCCAGGAAAAGATACCCCATGTTCACATATTTTTCAAGGATCCATCGCTCCCCGCAATCTACAACATATTATCTTTACAACAATGTCCAGTTAATGTAAATGTGTTACGAATTGACGAGGCGCCAGGGCGTCAAAGGCGGCAAGGTCTATCATTAAAAGAACCAAAACAAGCGCCGTAACGTTAGATTTATTCACTGTTCACATCATCATGGTTAAACTTTCAATTTCTGCTAAAAAATTTACACTGACGAACGTTATGGTTGCGTTATTCACGATACATTGTTGTCAATTAATCAGATTATAAATTCGAATACATATTTATTTGCACAAATACGACAAAGATTCGCTCGAAAACTAACTTCATGAAATATTGTCATTATAAATACCTGATCTAAGGATTAATTCCCTTTGTTTATAAAAAATAGTTTGAGGTTCTGTGCAGGATATTCTGTACACTTGAAGAAAAATATATTATTAGAATTGAATTCAAACAAAATATGCAACACAAGCGACGTAAAATTTTTCTATTTTAAAAATTAGAATGGTCAGCCAGGTTTTGTAAAAAATGTTGAAAAAAATAAACTACCCCCCCCCCCCTCCCCCTTTCAAAAAAAAAAAACAAAAACAAAACAAAACTAACATAAAACAAGACGAAAAAGAAAAGTCAAAATGAATTAACGAAAAATTAAAATGAAAATAAGCAAAACAAGCAAAAAAGAATTAACAAGTTCATGTTTTATCTTAAAATAATATGGATACAAACAAAATAAAAATAAGGAGATGTGGTATGATTGCCAAAGAGACAACTATCCATCAAAGTTCAAATGAAGTGAATGTAAGCAATTATAGGCAACCGTACGGTCGTCAACAACGAGAAAAAAAACATACCCTATGGTCGGCTATAAAAGCTTGTTATTGATTGTCCTCAGTTATTACCGTTCAGTATTGATTAAATTTGAAGAAAACAAGTATAATATTTATAATAAGCATTTGATTCAACATTGAATTTGTGTCACGGAACACACATATATATACTACATGAAACACGTCTTCTTTAAAATATAACACTTGTACGAAATTGAACTGATCTTTATTTAAATCGATCTTAAAAAGATCAGTTTGCGTTTACATTTGCACAAGCAAGATCGATCGAGATCGATCTTATTTAATCTAGTGCGTTTACACTGCAACATAAACGGAACTGGTCTGACCTGATTACTTTACATTTCGTAAACAAATAATCGTAAAAATAGAATTGAATAATAACGAGTGCATTTCGCGCGGACTATCACACACTGCAAAATTATGGAGAAAATAGTTGGATCATTGGAATTTCGTATGCAGTTATCAATTATCTGTTTGGTTCATACGTCACAATTCATTAAACAAAGAAATGCGAGAAGACTATCACTTAAAAACAAACTGCCAATGCCTTTGTAGATGAGGATTTGCAGCAAAGAACTAAAATTTATCGATTCAGAAGAATGATCCAAAAATGGCGGAATCTTTTCCCATCCATCGTTTTTAAACACGTGTGTTTTTGCCGCCGAACATGCGCAGATTTATTTTCATATCTAAATATACCATTCACTTGAAGAAAGATCGATCGCGATCGATCTTAGCGTTTACAATTGAAGAAAGATCGATTCAAATAAGATCGATCTTTTTAAAACCCCCTCTGGAGGTGGACTTTTTAAGTCTGATTGAAGATCGATCTTTCCCGTTTACA